GGTACGGGAGCCGTGGAGGGTTGTGGGGCTGGGGGCGAGGGCGAGAAGCGGGCGATGAGACGAGCGACGTTGGAGCGGGACGGCGGAGGTTGTTCCGCGGTTGGGGGTGTGAGTGGGTTTTGGGTTGCGAAGTGGTGGGTGAGTTGTCGAACACGGGAGGTGGTGGTAAGCGGGGACGACGAAGTAGTTGACGACGTAGGCGACGAAATGGTAGAGGACGGGGGTGACGAAGTACGAGAGGACGAAGACGACGAAGTAGTTAGCGACGGAGGCGACGAAATAAGAGAAGGCGAAGACGACGAAGTAGGTGGCGACGGAGACGACGAAATAAGAGAGGGCGAAGACGACGAAGTAGGTGGCGACGGAGACGACGAAATAAGAGAGGACGAAGACGACGAAGTAGTTAGCGACGGAGACGAAGAAGTAGGTAAGGAGGTAGTGGACGAAGTGGCGAGTGAGAAGGGGGTGTTGGACGGTGGGTTGTAGAGGACAATGAGCGGCCAGGGGGAAGGTCCTGGCTCGTCGTACCTGGAGGCGTCGGAGGGGTCGCGGCGGCAGACGATCCGCGCGCCAGTAGGAAAGCGGCGCACGACGGTCATGTGGCGTATGAGGGGAGCCCAGGGGGCTGTAGGGCGGTCTGGTAAGACGATGATGGCGGAGGTGCGAGGGTTTGTCGTTTTGGATTCCAGGTACTGGGAGATGAAGGCGGACGGGGACGATGTAGGCGGGACCATCCAGACGCACTCGCCGTCGACGTGGGCCGACAGAAAGGAGCGGGACGGCGAGAAGAAGGGAACGACGTGGGCGTTGATGCCGAAGTCGTCGCAGCAGGCGTCGACGGTGAAGGGGCCATACTGCGAGTCAAGATCGAGAAAGACGGTGCGCGAAAGCATCCAGTCGCTGTCCACCCGGTGCGCTTCCGTCGTGGAGGCTGCTGCAACACGAGCACGCATACAACCTACACGGCGGGCGGGCTTACTGGCGATCTGGGTTAGGCGCGAAACGTTGAACGGCGGCGGCGGCGGGGTGTCAGACTCGGCTGACCGTTGCACAGCAAAACGCACCGGCAAGCTGTGGCTAACCTGTTCTGCCGGTGGTGGCTTAAAGGCCACGTTGACGGGATCGAGGCGAACGGCGGCGGGTGGGGTCGGCGCGGCGGTGCTGGTCATCGCGGCGAGGGTGGGGGCTGCCTGAACGGGAGGGAAAGGTGCGTCCGTGGTCGTTGTCCTGACGACGGCGGTCGGAATTGTCGGTGCGAGCCGGAGAGGGGGAGGGGGAGCGGGAGGGAGAGCGGCTTGCGGTTCGAGAGGTGGTGGAACGAAAGGGCGAGCGGTCGGTGAGGACGTTGATGGTGCAGGTGCCCTGCGGTAGCGAATGCGGTGAGCGGTGAGCGGCATCGTGCTCCATTGAAATGGTGCACGCAAGGTCGATCACATCCTGCAGTCGTATGTAGGAACCCGGGTTGCGTAAGCGCGAGAAGATCTCCTTCCTGAGGTCGTCCTGCAGTCCCTGCGCGAAGAAGAGGACGTGGTCCTTCTCGTGGCGGTACGGCAGGTCGGCCATAAGGCGTTTGAATTCCGCAATGTAGCATTGTAAGGAGTTTGGTCCGGAACCCTGCGTCAAGGCAAACATAGCAAGCTGCGCTTGATAGGGTCCCGTGGTGGGGACGGGAGCCATCGGAGGATGACGAAGACGAAGATGACGAAGACGACGATGTCGGTGACGACGATGACGAAGATGACCAGCGGAGCGAAGCGATGACGACGAAGACGATGAAGACGAAGGCGGAGCGAAGCGTATAGGCCGGATCGTCTAGATCGATACCAACTGAAAGGGCACATCATATAACAATAAATCAAGACTTGAAGGTCGTACATATGGCTACGGCTCTCAATCTACCTTTTACGGACGTGGGAGAAACCACAGTCAGGGACTGGGATGTGCAACTAGACAAAGTCTGGGCTCGGTTTCGACGCATCTCTGTGTTAAATCTTTCCATTTTTGGGCGTGCACATGCAGCGGCTGCATATGGGCTGCATCGTTTTACGTGGCATATGGAACACGGGGGGTTTCCCCCAGAAGCTAAACTCATGAATATTGAGGCTAAAGCGGCCAAGCTTATTGATAGGAACCTCGGACCGGTAGCACAAGAAAGACGACTCACCGGGGTTCCTAAATATTTGTTATATGGCCATCCAACTTTGGGCGGTTTTGGGGCATTAGCAGTACGACAACATGTGCAAGCGCGATGGGCATGCTGGGCAGTGCGTTTTGTGGGAGCATTACTCCAACCAGTCTTAGTGCGTCCGCCTTGGGTCATGGTCATGCAATCTTTCCTACATAGCCTTTACCCCAAATATAATCCTATGTGTATTTTTACGTCCCAGGTGGGAGTGCCTTGGTTTGGATTAATCGTTTTACCGCCAGATGTTCAGCGCATTGTGACAGCGTTGGCATACCTTCCCCCAGTGGAAGATGTTGATGATCACCCGTTAGTTCCTAATGCGTGGTGTTGGAATTTGCCATTGTGGGGAAACCCTGTTCTTCCAGAAAAAAGGGTGAATGTCCAGTTAGATAACATCCGCCCAGGACTAGAATTTCGACATCAGGCCCTCCTGGGCTGTAAAGCATTGCATACGTTGGGAGATGTTCTTTGCGCGCGCGAGGCCTTGGATGGAGTTATGAAGGCAACGGACCAAGCAGGCCTTGCAATACGCAAGGCTTGGCATCAAATAGTGGATCAATACCTCCAACCGCAAACCCCACTAGCTAAATCCCTGTGCACCTATCGTAAATGGCAGGAATGTATGGATGCTATTGGCGCTCTTCTAGATGATATTCCAGCGAATTGGAGACAGGCGGCTAGTCTTTTGTTGCCGCTGAGTGTAGAATCTAGGGAAGCAATGGTGCCCCCTATTGAGTCGGTTACCCAAACCCTAGTGTCGAGGCTTGGTTGGAGATGGGGTGTAGGGCCTCCAATCCGATTCCAACACTTATCCGTTAAAATAGCGACTAATATGCAACTTTCACCTTTTTCGATGGCTCGCCGTGTGGCCCATACCCTTTTCATCAAAGAGGCGACGGGTTCTTCTGAGATATTGGATGAAGCTATTCTTCTTTTGCAACGGACATTCCATCGTTTATGGTTTCATTTACGGTGGGAAAATGAACAAAAAGAGGTTTGGTGGCGTCTCGCGGTTGATGGGGTGCCTATGTTAGGAAATTCCCATCTTAGGATGTCGCGCCCAACGATTTGTGGTTGTGGAGGTTATCCAATAGGTTCAGTGGGAGGTGTATCCCCTCGCTATCATCATTTCTGGGCTTGTCCGGTGGCACAGGCAGTAGCAGATCAACTTACTATTTCAATAGGAATGCCAGTCTCAAGGAAGCAACTTTGGCTTATCCAAGCCCCACAATCAGTGCAACAATGTGTTTGGGATGTTGTGGCTCTTGCTGCGGTGTCAGCCATGGAGCATGGGAGACGTTATATGGCTGCAAACATCAAAACCAACCCGGCACTGTTACCTGGCCCTTCCCTTACGGAAGAAGCAATTTGTCGAGTTATTGTTGACTTTTGGGGCCGCATTCAGGGTTTCGCAGCTTTGGGAATTCCACGGAAAGGTTGGGATTCCGTTGGCGTACATCACCCCTTCTTGAGAATTATATCTGGCAAATTGATGTGCTCGCGAGAGCGGTTACCGATGAGAGGTTAATTATCTGAGGTGATAATCTTTTGGTATATTAGTCTCTACTGCAGTGCACGGCCAGCTGGCCCGATGGCTCTACTCTTCGAGAGTCTGGAGCCCACTGTAACAACCACACACACATAGGCTCCGTTTCTCGTTGGGATGTCACAAATGTTACAACGAGGGCCGAGCGACGTAAGCCAGCTAATCCAGCACAAGATGTAATAACGATGACATAACAATCTAAACAACACAACGACTTAAATAGTCATCCAGAGCCTAGGCGGCGCCGAAAGGTCGTACATTATCCATATCTCAAATGATCGTCCACGAGTAAAGTTAACGACTTAACAACTAACAAGAAAACCTAACACCCCCCCTCCTATGGTGAGAAGCACCTTGACCAGCTGATGAATCCCATCGGGACGCGGACGCTGCTCAGACTAAAGGCTAAAGTCTTATGAAGGAACAGGACTAGGATATTCCAATCTAAAATTAAGGGGGAAAATGTAAAGGTAAGACAGCAGTTTGGGGTTGACCCGCCGGGACAGCTGGTTATTCGAATCCTGTCCTGCACCCAGGGCCGGCCGCCACCCAAAGGAGTTCGGCCCTCGTTGTGCAGTTGCTGGCAACTAAAGCGTCACGCACGTATTGTGAAACGACGGCCCACGACACGTGAGGAAATTTTGAAGCGGCTGTCGCTCTCATCTATAGCGCTGCTTCGCTACTCATGGGAACCTCCTGCGAAACTTCGCTTCCAGCATCAAAGCCGACCAGGTTTCCTCTCCGGTTTAGAAATACTGCAATAGCTAGGTCCCGATTACGACTTCTGCGCCAAACCGCTGCCACACAAAAATGTGCCAAGTGGATGAAGTTTCCCGTGTAACAAGACTTACCGTACAATGGTCTAAGGCTGAAGTTATATGTATTGTTAAGTGACTAGCCGTAGATTTGTGCTTACAGCTAATGAGGACAGCAAAATACTTACTACGGTACTGACTTGGAAACGCAGCTCCCCTAATTTCATTTGGGTAATTTATCTCAGCTAAACTTCATTTTATATCACTTCCTTTCAGCGACCTAGGCTCCTTCCGGGGGACAGGCTGAGCCATCAATAACCGTTGCAGACCAGTCCCGTACAAAAATGTGGAGCAGAAGGGCTCAACGGAACTGAAACGTGCTTTGTCGTTTTTTAATATGTAATTTGTTAATTCATTTGCTGGATGAATTTACCTATCACATTGCTCTCCATGAGTTTATTGCGTGACAGTAGCCCTTCTGAGAGCTTAGCTAGCTTTGAAATCCTGGATTTCTATGATATCATATCGTTCCGCTTATTTTGTCTTCTTGGTTGTGGTTCAGCTCTGGGCGCACCCTCTCTCTTGCGCCCACGCCTTCGGCATGTCCAAAAATAACCACCCAGGTAGCGATGACACCTTGCATTCTGCCTGGTTCTCGGCTACAGCATCGAGTCTTAATCCAGAACGCGGAGTCCCGGTGGAGTCTGCTTACAACCTCAAGACGGTTTCAAGCGCACATCATGTCGCAGCTGAGCCGACATTGCCGGTCCGCTTTAGGGCGATTGTCACATCGACCCCGGCTCCGGCCCTGGGGGAATCACAGCTAAAAGATGTCAGCAGGTTCCTGCAGAAGGAGATGCTCGCTACGAGGGTAATCGTGTCGGTGAGAGCCCCGCCATGCGTTTCTTCCGTGCCTCGTCACCAAGAGCGCCGTGCCCGGTGCACCATCCCCATTTACCCATACGCTGGTTTCCCCGCCAGTCCCCCCCGACCCTCACAGGTTTTCAAACCATCAACGTAATACTATTATGTAATACCTGACTGACTTGCATCCACCCGCATGCCTAGGACGGCCAGGGGAGGGTGTGTTCGTAAAGCCACCATTCGGCAATTTGGGTTCTCTGTGATGGTCCAAATCCGAATCCAAATCCAAAATCCAAAATCCAAGATCCATCGCCAACTTCTCGAATATATGCATGTACGGCCAAGCAGGTGGCGGCCAAGCATGTGCGTGCTCGTGTCGCAGTTATCCGCGGTGGCTTCATGAGCGACTGTAGCGACGCCGGGCAGGGGGAATATAGGGCCCAACTGGGAGCCGCGCTGGGTCTCAGTGCCGCAGATGTGCTGGTGCTGCTATGCGTCGTACAGCAGGACGAAGCATTCGTACAGGTACTGCGCCGTACACCAGGCGGTTGGAGGGGTTATGCGTGGTTCAACCTTGTGCGTATCGGGAAGGAAATACCGACGCAGGGGAATCCATATGCACGGGTTTTTCTTAATAGAGTAGGCGCCTGGGAGTTGGTTGATAAGTCAGTTAGCGTCGTACATTGGCAGGGGGCGAGGCGGGTGCGAGGGTGTGAGGCAAAACACGTCCCGGTAACAACCCTCGGCCAAATTTTGTCGTGTCATTGTTATTGTCTGCAACCCTTTGTTGTTTTGTGTTTTTGATGTACGGCGGCAGTCGCAGCTGCGCCTTGTGTCACGGCTTTACCTCCATGCCACGTCTGCTGTCTGCGTAGGATCCACGCGGCCAAGCGGCACCTCGGGGCTGCGGCGATGCTCAGGGGGATACCTTACCCGCGGCGCTGATGCTGGAGACCTCGTTACGCCTGCCGCCAACCGCTAACGAATCTGCCGTACAGGCAGCTCTGGCGGCGCTGCCCAACGGTAACACTGCACTGCACGGGTTGTGCGTGCCCTGCGTGTCGTACATGCCTCCTGTCAGCATTTCTCTGGAAATCGTACTGTACAGCGGCGCTGGCGGCAATGCTGAGAACGCAGATTCTCCTGCGCTGCCGCGGTTAGGAGGGCCTGGAGCCGCCGCCGCCGCCGCCGCCGCCGCCGGGTTGCGAGGTGCAGCGGTCGCCAGGACTTCGGGTGCTGTCGTACATGAGCTGGCGGGTGAACTCCAGCATGCGATTGCCACGTCACTGGGTGTTCCCCTGGATCAGGTGCCGTACGATGCCGTACCTTGGCGGATGCGGACTGCGGTAGTGAACTAGTGAACTGATGGGAAACTCCCACCTCACCTCAACCCACCACCCCATAGCCAGCCTGTGTAGGAAAGCCATCGGGCTGAAGCATACACAGCCAAATTTACCCTTTCATTGTTTTTTTTACCACAACTTGTATCATTACCTGCCATGTAGACTTGCAATCCAAAGCCCGAAATAGCTCCCACACCTTTTCACGTAGCTTTACAAGTACAGGGCAAACCTGCCACAGCGCTCGTCGTTCCCCCCTTCCCCCAAAGCCCCCCATGCGCAATGCAATCTCACCATGTATTTGTTTCCCACGCCACGTCACGCCACCACCTGCCACATCATCCGCAGGTCCGGCTGCTGCCGCCAAGTGCCCTGACGGCCACAAGCCCGCCGCCGCCGGCACCTCTCAACCGCCACCTGGCGCTGCCGCCACAGCAGCAGCAGCAGCAGCAGCCGGAGCCTTGGCCGCCGCCGCCAGCAGCTGCAACAGCGGCGGCGGCGGCGATGGCGACGGCGACGGCAACGGTGACGGCGACGACGAACACGGCCTCCGCCGCCCCAGCCACTTTCGGGTCCGCAACATCATCAAGGATGGTGACAACGACGAATATGATGGTGGGGGCTCAGGTGACGACTACGGCAAGGCAGACCTCTACAAGCGTTGGCAGTAGCCGGAGGGCCTTACTAGGGCAGTTGCGGCGGTTGGACAGCAACCGCCAGGGAACCGTACTGTCGTCAGTCGGGAAGGTGGTTATGGTGGTGGCTGTCGGCTGCAGCGGTGCGATGGTGGTGGTGCCAATGCTACTGGCGTCATGTCTGTGGGCTGGGGGGACTTGGTGGCGGCGGCGGCGGAAGACGACCTCAGAAACGACGACGACGGCGGCGGCGGCAGCGGTGGCGACGGCGACGGCGGAGCAGCCCAGGGCGGTGAGGCGGGCACGACAAGAGGTTCCCTTGCCTTTTTTCGTATTCCGCTTCTTAGTCGTCGGCTGCGCCAAACGCGATAAAGTGTGTGTCGTACACAACACGGGGGATATAGGAGCGCTATTCGGACAGAGCTGGTCATTTACCCCTTTCGGCTCTTTCACCCCTCTTACCTTTGCCATCCCTCAACAACCTTTCCTAATCTCTCTTTCTTTCATACCCGTCCCGTCTCTCACATCGCTCCTACCCCCCTACCCCCCTACCCGCAGGATCTCAACTCCAGGGAGGGTGATTGCGCTCTTACCTTCGACCCCCTGGACCCCGCCGCCGAGGCCCAGGCCCAGCAGGTGCCCTCCCTGGAGGTGCCCCGGAATGTAGCCTCATCCAGTGGACCTAACACGGGGCCGGAGCCGGAGCTGCTAGGAAATCAAGAGGCGGCAGCGCTGACGGCGGCAGCAGCATCGCTCATCAATTCCACCGCCGGCGACTCGGCCGCCGCCGCCGCCGCCGCCGCCGTTTCGGTCTCCGGGGATCTGCCCACGACCGCCAGCAAGCCGCCGTCGTACCATCAGGTCGTCCAACCAGCAGCGTTACTACTAGTACCACGTATGGCGATATCCGGACCGTCGCTCGACGGCAATGAGGATGGTCGCCGTGGCGGCAGCGACGGCGGCGGCGGCGGCAGTCTGGATGGGCCCTATCCGGCTAATCCTGGCGGCGGAGGCGGCGGAGGCGATCGGTCGACCTCGATGACGTCACAGGCGGATGAGTCTCGGAGCGCAGCCGCCGGAGTTGTCGTCGTCGCCGCTGCCAACAGCCCGCGAGGGGCTGATACGGCGAGCTCGCCGCCGCCGCAAGGTTCACCGTCAGCGCCGTCAGCGCCGTCAGTGCCATCGTCACCCGCCGCCGTATCGGCGGCGGGGACAGCGTTGGTTGCACGGCAACCGTCGCCGCATCTGCCGCCTCCGCCGTCGTTGCCGCTGCCACCGGTCATGGCCCGTGTCTGGAATTCTAGTCGGGCCGTACATCACCAGCAACCACCACAACAACAACCACAGCAGCAGCAGCAACAACAACAACAACAACATCACCACCAACAGGCACTACTCAAATGGGCGGCACAGCGGCGATTGATGGACGAGAACCGGGCTGTGACGACGGCAGCGACGGCGGCGGCGGCAGCGCCACCGTCGTCGCCTTCGTCGCCGTCGTCGCCGTCGTCGCCTGCGGGCATAGCGGCCGCGACGGCAGCAGCAGCGCCTCCGTCTCCGCCGGCCGCTGTGGGCGCTTGGACGACACCTGCTCCGGCCATCGGCAGCGACAGACTGAGCTTGGCTCCTTTGCCGTACACTGACGACGTTTCGGCGGTATCGTACGGCGGCGTGGCTGCGGAAATGGAGGATGTGGACGAGGAAGCCCTCAGCCGGGTGTATCAGGGTGACGGCACCAGCGGCGGAGCCGATAGCAGCGGCACCGGCGGTGGCGACGGCGGCGGCGGCGGGGGGCTTCTGGCTCGCGTGTTTTCCCGCAAGTCCAGAGGCCCGGCATCAGGAGGCGCTCTTGAGCGGCTTGGCCGCCTGGCTAAGGCGCCTTCCTCGCGACGCACATTTTCGGGTGCACCTATGGGGCCGTCAGCGGCCCGTTACATCATCCCTGGCGGCGACGGCGGCAGCGGCCAGTCGCCGTCGGTGTCAGAGGAAACCGCTGCTGCTGCCGCTGCGGCGGCGGCGTCTACAGCCCGACGGCGCCGAAACCCTCGCCGTGACCGCCGGGGTAGCCCTGTGTGTGAGGAGGTCGTGGCGTTCAGCATGGACCCGGCCGAACGCACCAGCGGTGGCGCGTACGGCCCCGCGACGCCGTACAACAACGGCGGTGACAACTATGCCGAAGGCGAAAGTGACGATGATGACAGCAGCGGGGACGACTCAGACGGAAGCTGCGGCGGCGGCAGCGGACGACTCGGCGGCAACAATAACGTTAACGATGATGATGACGACGACGGCAGCGTTCACGGCCCTGGACGGACCCGTGGGTCGCTGATTCTCCCCCCGCACCGTGGCTCTCGCCTCCCTGGTGTCACGAATGCGCCCTTCACAGCGGCGCGCATCGCACCCTCGGTATCGACGCGGTCGTTGCAGCGGCGCCTGGGACCGCACGGCGGTGGCATCGTACAGGTTGGTTGGTTCTAGGTGGTTGTTGGTTGCCAGCTGATGGGGTTCAGTTGCAATGTCATGGGGGGGGGCGGGTGAGGAGTGCAATGTAGGATGTGGGAATGCAAGTACTGTTTTAGTTTTTTTTAAGTTATCACCGGTATCGGAGCTGGCTTGTGGCTTTCACGCCAGCAGCAGTATAATCCAAGCGGTGGGTCAGCTCGTCTGTCATCTCGTGTTGGTGTTGTCATGATCATCTGGGGCTCGTTGGCGTGGTGGGGCGTGGGAGCCCCTTATTGGCCTTCCGGGCTCTGAATCGCCACAGACGACGGCGGCGGTTGGTTCGGTTGTTGACTCCCGATGTGGGTTATGGGTGATCTTCCTGTCAGCTGCAACCATAACCACCACAACCAACATCGCAACGACCGCAACATCGCCGCGCCACAGGACGCCGAAGAGCTTTCCATGGTGGCGAAGAAGTGGCGGACGCCGCCGCCCATGGCGCGAAGGAAGCGATTCAGCGATATGGGCGGGGTGGACAGCGGTGCTTGGGGACAGCGCGCCGCTGCCGTCGGCGGCGGCGTCATTGGCTTCCCGGGTGAACCCCCGGGTGGTCCATTATCTCGTACGACAGGTCAACCGCTGTCACCGCAGGTCCCCACGAGAAAGGTCCGTACGACGATTGCGTACGTGTACTGCACAGCGGGAGAAGTAACGCGTGTCACATGTGGCACGTACCTGGCCGACGGGACGTGCGGCGGGACATGAGCGAAACGGAGTGGCATGGCGGAAAGCCGCGGAAGTACTTCGTGAGCCTGCTTGGGTTTTTTCTCCCCCCTCCCCTCCCCCACATTGCCCACACGGCCCAAACCCACCACGTACTGACGCGCGGACTGTTCCTCAACCCTTTTCCTCCCTCCCCCTTCCCCCTCAACCTCCTCCTCCTCCTCCTCCTCCGTTTTCAATCCGGTTCTGCGCCGATATCCGTAGACCATCCATCGCTCCCACCCCCCCGTCCCACACCACAAACACGCCACGCACAGAAATTACCAATACCCGCCCATCTTTGCCCACATGTTGCTCCCCGACTGGCGTAGCGCAACACCGTTGGCGGCTTCCTCTTGGCGGGAAGCAGGGGAGAGGTCGTACCTCGCTCGCCGCCGCCGCCGCCGCCACAGCAGCAGCAGCAGCAGCCACCCCCCCTACCGCGCCCACATCCACTCCCTCACGTGCAGAAGCCACAGCTATCGAGCCCGCGAAACCACAGAGCGGGGCTGCCGACCTTCGCACCCTCGCCCCTCGCCACTCCGCGGACACAAGCGGTGCTGCCGTCGCGAGACGGCTCCGAAACCAGTGGTATCGTCATGACGACGGGGGCGACACGGAACACGCTGTTGATTGCAGGGCCAGCGCTGCCGTCGGCAGCGCCGCCGGCGGTGGCAGTGGCGGCAGTGGCAGCGGTACAGACCCAAGTGACCCATGGTTCACTTTCTCCGTCGCGGGGGCACGTGGCGTCGGGGTTTGTCGGCGAGGGCAAGATGGATGGTCAGGACGCGCAGGAGCGGGTGCCGAGGTGCTGTTGTGTGTGGGGGGGGGGGCCCGGGGGGGGGCGGGGGGGGCCGGGGGGAGAGGTGTAAGAACTGGTTTCGGGGCGATGTGTGTGTGTGTGTGTGTATTAACCGGTGCTCGTGTGCGGGGTCCGGGAGCATTCGTGGTTTAGGCTCCAGCCGCCCCCTGTTGCCCGGAGCACCGTGCTTCAGCTGCCGGATGGTATGACAGCCCGCAGCCCGTTGGGGGGGGGAGGTCCAAGCAGCAGCACTTGGCACACACCTCCCGTCGGGGGAGCAATAAGCGAGTTTAAACTTCCTGCAGGTGATTAGTGGTTATTCGATTCAGGTGTATTGTACATCCCATGCTGCATGCCCTGCCGGAAAATGTTGTCGCCGTCTTCACGAACCGTGCAGGTTGTCCGGCAACCTGCGAGAATGGCCGTCTTCGCCGTACAGCGATACCCTAGCTGGCGGCGGCGGCGGCGGCGGCCGCGATGCCCTGGGTCGCGCCGCCAGCAGGGCCGTCAGCGTAAATGCCATTGGCTCTGCTGCTGCCGCAGCGGCGGCTACACCCGGCAGCGGCGGCGCCAGCACCACAGCCACCGTCACTGGGCGCACCATCGACCGCCGTACATCTGGGTGGATGGACATGAACGTTCACGTGACTCTATCCGCCAGTAAAAGCAACACCGGCAGTAGCAGCAGCACGGGGGCCGGAAGCCGCACCGTCCAATTACGAGAGTTCGAGAACTCCTCAGCGTTGATACCGCGATCTGATTGTCCGCGTCGAAGCTTTGGCAACGGCGAAGTATCGTACAACGGCGGCGGCGACGTCAGCGGACCCCGCGCTCCAGGAGGGGCCGCTGCCGTCGGCGTTTCTGCGCTGACGGCCTCGGCATTGCAAGGCAGGGAGGCTTTGACGTCGCCGTCGGGCTTCCGTACGACACGGGGCTCCACGGCGCCCGGCTGCAGCGGTAGCGGGCGTAGTCCGCTGTCCCGCTGCGCCACCGCCGATGGAAGCGGGCTCGCGGACATGACAGCTGTCGCTGCAGCGGCGGCGGCCACCGCCTTCACGGACGACAGTCAAGCGGCGCGGCGGCGGCACATGTCAAGTGCCCCGACGGCGGCCGCGGCGACGACGGTGGGACAGGACAGCAACGACAGCGAGGCCCATCGCGATAGGGCAGACGGCGATCGCGGGGTTGCCGTTGCGGTGGCGGAGCCGACGCCGGCGGCGGCGCTGCTGGCGGTGTACGAGGTTCCTAGTCGGGACGTCACCACCTTGCGCGCTTTTGACTCCGACACTATGGCGGGACGCAGAGAGCCCCTGGGGGATGGATTGGGCATTGCTTCGGGTGGTCCGCTGAAGACGGAGAGCTGTTTCCCCGGCCCGATGGCTCCACCCTCGCCTGGGAGCACGGTTGCAGTGGCGACAGAGGTAGCGGCGGCGGGGGCGGCGGCGGCGGTAAGGGGATCCCACATTGCATTTGATGTTGGGCCAAGTGGTAGCTCGGGCCCCAGCACGGCACAACAGCGCTGCGGAGTGGCCGCGACGGCGCCGGTGGCGGCGGAGGAGGCGGAGGCGGAGCTGAAGCCAGCAATGCCGGCGCCGCCGCCCACACCTGCAGTACCGCAGATTTGGGCGAAGCGTTCAAGTGCTGATGTCCGCATGGCCGAAATGTTGGCTGCTGCTGCCATCTTCTACGGCATCGACAAGTACGACTGCGACGAAGACGAGTACGATGTGGGCGGGGGGAGTAGCAGCCGCGACTGCGGTGCCGTTGCTGCCCTTGATGAAGGTAATGGAGGCGGCGGCGGCGCCGTCGGGCCGACGACTGCCAACGATCCTCCGCAGTCGCCCGTGTCGCGGTGGGCTCTGCGGAAGGCAGCCGCGGTGGCGGCGGCGGTGTCGTCGTCTGAGGCGGCGGCGGCGGCGGCGGCGGCCGACGTGGCATCATCTTCTGGGCCCGTAGGGGTTCCTTCCTGGCATATCAACCTGGCCTCTGTCTCTTCACTCACCCGCCGCCGGGATACCAGTGCAGATGTTTGCGAAGCCCGTACGGCGGCGGAGGAGCGGGATACCGGCGGCGACGCCTGTATTGGCGGCGGCGGCGCCGTCACCATCAGTCGGGAGCGGCAGCAGCTTCACGAGTTGCAGGAGCAGCTGCGGCGGTTACGTTCTGGACGGAGAGACCTCAACACTCCAGGGGGCGGAGGGATGGCCGGGGCGGGAAGACTGTCGTTGCGCGGACGTCGTACGACAGACGGGGCCGGCGATGGTTGGTCAGCTAGAGGCCGGGAACGAAGAGATGGAGAGGATGGGGCTGGCGGCGGAGGTGGAGGCAACGAGGATGTGCCGTACCGCGTTTGGCGGCGCACGCTAAGCGGCGTCGTGGGTGCGACGGAGCTGGGCGGCGTGGGCCGCGGCGCCGACAGCGGCATCCACGGCGACGGCTTGTTGGTGGTAGAGGAGGATTCTTCCGAGGCCGCTGAGGCCTAGGTAATGGAGAGGGACCCGGTGTGTTTTTTCCTTTTGATGTGTAGTGCAATAAATAGCCCATGCTCGCACGACACCTGCACATTTTCCATACAATGTTTCCTTTTTGCGCTTCAAAGCAGCTGAATTAATAGCGGCACAGCGGTACCCCGTCTCGTACAATTTTCCTTGCATTTGCATGTGCGGCACATGTGTCAGTGGGGCCTCTCTGAATGGCGAATTGGGTTGTACATACATGGCTTGTGGCAAGGCGGCAGCTGTTTAGGACTGTTTAGTAACTGTGCAGGAGAAGGAAAGGCTGCTAGGCCGCTTTTGCAAAGAGGGCCCTAGCGAGCGCCGTGCTTTGGGCATGCGGTTAGTCGGCTATTGTTGTCGTTACTCATGTTGCTCCTGTTGTTGTTCTTGCTGTTGTTGCTGTTCGTATTCGTGTTGTTTCACAATCGGAGCAGGTTGAAATACAGTGCAAAGCTAACCGGCGGAATAAAGTCCACTCTATACATGCAACGTACGGCGAACGGTTTGCCGCCCCGGAACCCGATTCAAGTATCACGTACCTTATGGGCTTATGGGTTACGGCAGATTCGTTGTTCGTCAGCACTGATATTGGTTAAACACTGTGCGATATGGCACATGGCACATATGAGTGTCCAGGCCACGGTGCGCCATGTCATCCACTCAAAACCTAGGTCCATGGGCTTTGCTGTGAAGAGCGCCAGGTTGAGATTTAGGGTGTATCGCAGGAGGCCGCGTGTTCAGGTTAGGCCAATCTGATGAGCGTTCTGATCGGCCTGTACGCGGGCCAGTCCGGAATATTGGAACCAGGCACGGCGAGGCCAAGGTGCAAGTTCTACCAGGAGAGTGAAGAGTGGGTTAGGATCAACCGCGCGCATCTCCCACAGTAATCAGCGCAGTTGCTTTGGTTGGTAATTTCAGGCTAGACATGATTCCTTGGAGGTAAAGTCGGCTTGGTTAGGTAAGGGTGCGCTATGATCCTCTGCCGGTCCGCCCTACAGTCCTGTCGATGGTTAAACAAACTCATCTTGCGTAACCAATTTCTTGAGGCGCTACCTTGCCTTGATTAATTTACAACCATGGAAGGCTTCAATCAGTTCCAACGTTCAAACGGTCAGCATAAAGATGCTGTATACAAGGTTCCGGCATCGCTTCAGAGCGGAGCCGGAGCCGAGAGCGGAGCCGGAGCCGGAGCGTGCAATAACTGTCTTAAGGATATCGCGTAAGCTAGTTATTACATGTTTTAATAAGCGTGTATGACATAGCTACCAGCCAAACATAGTGTGCATATGATGCGCCCTGTATTATTTCGGCAACTCCTTCAAAGTTACGTGGAAATCTGTATGAAGGACTAAAAACATAAAAAAGTCATGATAACATGGCGCACGAAGCTCCAATATCGCTAGTATCTCCTACTGAATGACAGCTTAAGTCATTATTTTCAATAAGCTAGATCTGTGAAGGACGAATATATCTTTTCCGTAGGCGATCTAGGGAATTTTTGCCGTGCGAATTGCTGTGCACCTGCGAATGATATTCGTACATCGTACAAGATCTCGAGGGAAATATTAACTTGCTGCTCTGACATGCCCAGTTGTCCCAGGTCCAACTTGTCCTGCAGGTTATCGTCAGAAAAAAATGATGATCTCTCGCTCTGTCGTCAACGTGCAGGTATCGGAAATTGTTGACTCGCTGTCTTTCAATCTATAGCATTTCGAAATAAGTTTTTAATACATGATGCTCTGTAGATGCCAATAGTGATATTGATCTTGTAGCACGGCACATAGTATGAATCATCTATCTTTCCGGAATCTCACAATAAAAACCTATGTCGGCCCCACAGGCCAAGCTCACGAAGAAGGGCAGCGCTGGCCCTAAGAAGGCCGCCCCTCCGCCCGGACCTCGCAAGACCATCCGGTAGGTGGCTAGCATGTCAGCGTTTGCTTGCGCTCACGTCATCTTTTTCCTACGATGTATGAGTTTTCCTGGCGCAAGCCATACTTTAGATCTGTTATGCAGAACCTTCTAACCTATTTGTGAAGTTGCGGTTGACATGTTCTGGTTATGTGTATTCCGATGCCTCGTTTTCGCGGTACTTTTCGATGGCTAGGTTGCTTATATTTATGCAAGTTGATGTTGCTTGCTAACGATGCCGATCTTGACTCCTTTGCGGACGTGTAGGGAGCGCGCTGGCTGGTGGGGCAATGGCACATCTGAGCGCCTTTCTCAGTTCTACGGCCCTGAGCGTGCACTTTGGCTGGGTAAGTAATGTCAAGACATAATCTGGTTCTAGGGATATGTAAGCGTGTTTATGTAGTCTACATGGATGATTGGATTTCGACCGGAATGGAGAGATCTACATGATTTTGATTGTTCCGCCCATGCGCCTATGTAGGTCCCCTGTCAGGCAGCGCTCCTTCGTACTTGACCGGCGAGTTCCCTGGTGACTACGGCTGGGTAAGCCTAAGACGGCGTCCAGCTTGAACAGCTGAATGACACAAGAAGAAGGTTATAGCCTCACCCGTGGCCGCAAGCCTGGCAAGCTTTATCTTCCTTAATGCTTCGAGGCTCCATTATCGTTCTCACTCTTGTCAACTTCAGCGACTTCTCCGGGTCGAATTCTCCCGGGTTTTAACACCCACCACCACCAGCACATCAATGGAATCGGCCGGATGATGGCCGCGTCGAGTCCTCTCCTGGTCGTTTTGCATGCCACCATTACACTGTCCATCACCGTCCATCGGCATGGCATGCATCCGCTCTCGTGCCACAGGGATTATTATCGCGCTCATTGTCGGGATTGACTGGAACCAAAGAACGATTGTGCTGGCCTATAGCATTTTTGCTGTCCGACTATTGTTAATCCTTTATGCTGCATGATATCGAAAATTCAGTGAACGCGCTCTGATAATTTAGCGATTTCCCGTCTTCGCTCTTTTTTGCAGGACTCGGCTGGTCTGTCGTCGGACCCGGAGACCTTCAAGCGCTACCGCGAGCTTGAGCTGATCCACGCCCGCTGGGCCATGCTCGGTGCTCTGGGCTGCGTGACCCCCGAGCTGCTCGCCAAGAATGGCACCCCGATTGCTGAGCCCGTGTGGTTTAAGGCAGGCGCTCAGATCTTCCAGGAGGGCGGTTTGGACTACCTTGGCAACCCTGGCCTTGTGCACGCGCAATCCATCCTGGCTACCCTTGCTTGCCAGGTCATCCTGATGGGCGCCATTGAGGGCTTCCGCGTCAACGGCGGTGAGTTACGAAATCAGGTATCACGGATTTTTTTTGTGGGCTACAGAATTCAGGTTATTTGGGGGTTACCGAATTTACCAGAGGAAATCCATGCTGTGCCTGCAATAAGGCCTGGTTGTTGGGCGACTTGATTCCATTCAATGTCATGTGATCCTACGACGCTTGATCCAAGGCTCAGGTGGGATTCAATTAGTGCCCTCAGTGTCCTGATTCGCTGTATGGCAAGTACGCTGCTTTCCCTTTGTTCTGGTTCATCAGGCCCGGCTGGCGAGGGCCTTGACAAGCTGCACCCTGGTGGCCCCTGGTTCGACCCACTTGCTCTTGCTGAGGACCCGGATGCCTTCGCCGAGGTAAGAAGAAAAGTGTTTTCCTGGCAAGTCTTCATAAATCAGGAGACTGGCAAGCCTTCACCACTAGACCACTTCACTCACTACTTCTCTACTGCCCCCTTCTGATCCACAGCTGAAGGTCAAGGAAATCAAGAACGGTCGCCTGGCTATGTTCTCCATGTTCGGCTTCTTCGTCCAGGCCATTGTGACTGGCAAGGTCAGACAATTATGTGGCTTGGCATTTTGTGAGGATCGCTTGTTACTTCTTTTGTTTCAGCATCGCTAATTCAATTATTTACAAGCGTCATCCTGTTTTGCAGGGCCCGATTGAGAACCTCGAGTCTCACCTGGCCAACCCAGGCGTCAACAATGCTTTCGCGTAAGTACTGGGGTATGGTTTCATGCTGGGGTGCGCGCTTATGCTCAGTTGTGAAGCACAGAAGCAATACTTATCGGCCTGAGCAGGCATACAAGCTAACTATGTCTTTTCAATCTTCATGCAGATTCGCAACCAAGTTCACGCCCAGCGCCTAATTCCATCGCTGGCATCTGGATACTACACCGCATGCTATCTACCATCCATCCTTTGTGGCAAGGAAACAAATGACTTACGCGCCATAGAATTCAGCGTGTCTAACATCACTGTACAGGAGACCCGTTGACTTCAGTCAAGTCCAACTTGTCACAAAGTTGTAGGTTCCAGAGGAGATCCTGCCCAGTCTGCGGGAATTGCGGTGTTCTCTGAGAGTACGTTGAGATTGTTTGAGGAGTGATGTTTTCGGTGGTTTGCATATGACCGTGCTAGTCGGGAAGAGGTTCTGATGTAAACTTGAGTAACCTAATAATTCCCTGTCCGATAACGTGGTTGACATCAATCTACTGTGTATGAGCCAGCAAACACCATCAGAACCAAGTTTGATGGATTATTATTATTATTATTCACCAAAAACAAAAACTCAAATCACAAATAACGCAAAGGGAAATTATGCAAGTAACTAAACGCAGCTTGTGTACTTCCACAACTTCGTAGGTATGTAGTTATGTAGCTCTCATTCGGATTAGTCTCTAGGTACAAGCACAGGTTATGACTATTTTAACACGTTCATAGCCAGAATATGCCATATAAAGATAGAAAGAGAACTGTGCCTACCGTAATGCTTAGAGGTAGGGAGCTGGTAAACCTGTGTAAAATAAGCTGACGCAAAATCCTACCGTACTGCTACAAATTCGTCGCGCCACACCTGGGTACCCCAAAAATGTAGCTGGAATTTTTCGTTTTGTTACACCAATTCGCGAGGGCTGTCAGTTTTTATGGAACACATTTTTTACGTGAACACACATTTCGCGGGGCTCCAGGGAAGCCACAACAAGGAGCGACAGCGTCAAAGCTCCCAAACTGCTGGACAGATCGTTTACTATATGTTTACGCAGAAGAACAGAAGACAGGCCCGGTGGTGCGGCACTAAAGTCAGGTGCGGTTTACCAAACGCCCCGATACACAAACCCCGAAACCGTCGGCCTACACATTCGTGCCAGACAGTTTTGCGACAAGCAAATAATTTTCCCCGTAGAGCTTTTTCCACTGTGACACACTTCGTGGCCCAAAACGAAAGGTGTGGCGCGAAGAATTCGTAGCAGTACGGTATCTGAGCACCTATTTAAGCACCCAATTCTGGGGTAACCACTTCTTGGCTTAAAGGGCCCTCCGTACCCGTCACAACCATCAAAAAAAATCATCGTGGATAGTTCGGGGAAGAGAAGGATGGGATGCATGACCTAACTAAACTGTTTGTAGGCTCCCAGTTAACAATGTGCCTTTGACAGCCCCTGCCGCCTGGAGAGTTAACGACCATATCTGTGCCACCGAACCACCGGTCTTACAACAGGGTTCACTCGAGGGCCCAAGTGGGATTGTGCTGCGATATGTTACACATTAAAAGTACGCGCGTTTTCGACCGAATGCCATAGGCACGCGTGTGGGCCGAAAACCCTATCCCAGCTACCCCACCACATCCCGATCAGCGCCAGAAATCCACAAAACATCTACCTATGAAAAATCATAAGCCAACGACCATCCTCCATCAGCGCTCAGTACCGCTCTGCAAGTCGCTCATTCTGCATCTCGTGCTCCGTGTACCTGTAGCCGCAGAAAACCAGTTCCAAGCAAGCAATGAATATAGCTGGACTAGTTATAAAAGCATGCATGCTGAGGGACACAAACACCAACTATGTTAGTTCTCACTAACGAAGAAATGCTCTTCTTACGAGCTTACCCCTTAATCCCAAAGAACAAGGTGCCAGCAATTAGGATGTTAGCTCCTTTCTGCAAGCACCATGACTCCGCGTAAGTCCATCACTGATTTCGGCGACATGACAAGCCATCGCTTCATTCAAAACACACCTCCTTGCAGAAGCGGAGGAAGGTCTTTGGCGCGTTGTAAAAGGTCTGCTTCAACACATCCTGCTGGTAAGGACTCAACTGGTACAGAATTTCGCGAATAGGGATGTTCTGCCGCGGCGCCATGGTGGATTGCGTGGTACACGACTACCGTAGTAAGAAACGCAGACGATATTGGTGGTCCCTGCAGAAGGTCAAAACGTTCCGGTAGCGATAATGTACGATTGTGCTGTACGCACAGCAAGGAACACTGGTGCTGTCAAACTGCACCTTTCTTTTTGTTCTAAGTCTGAGAGGGTAGTGTTACAGAACCTTGAGTATTTATGGCTGAAGCCTGGTCACTTAGAAAACGCTATCGCCGCGGGCCGCTTTGCATTCCGGCTCTCTGCACCTCCGATCCACCGCGCCACAGTCCAGTGTGCCTAGTCATCCAGTCTCTCCAACAAAGCTACTGCACCACGAACAGACCATGTGGTCCCCAGACCCCACCAATCAATAAATACACCACCACCCAAATCGTGGCAAGCAACCCGCCAAAGCAAGCCAGTCCCTTCCTCCACCACCCAACCCCTCCAACCGCTCTCCCCTTCCTTGCCAAATCGACGCCACACATTACCCTGCCTCTTACTTTCCGAACCCATTTCCGCAAAGGCCTTCCTTCATTTGCTAGGCGCTCTCGGTCGCATGGCCAACAGCAGCGTGATGGTTCGCTGCAGTGTCAGTCGGCCCCCGCCAGCACCCGCCGCCTCCAGGCCCGCCAGGCACTCTTGCCGCAGCCACTCCGCGGGGTCGGTTTGGCCGCAGGAGCCGGACGCGTGTGCACGAAGGAATGCGGGGTACGCAGACCAGGAGCGTACCTGACCCGCCTGGAGCAGCAGCAGCAGTAGCAACAGCAGCAGAAACAGCAGTAGCAGCAGAAGCAAAGTGGGTGGCCGCGGTAACAATGGCGCTAGCGACAAATTGGCATCCGCCGCCGCCGCAGCTGCAGAAGCAGCAGTAGCAGTAGCTGCTGCAATGGCAACGATAGATGCGCTAGACCAGCTATCCTGCGGTGATGTCGCTGTGTGTCAACAGACAGAGTCAACCGGAAGAACGGCAGAGCAGGAACATGAAACGCAGGACTGGCAGCCGGGTGCCTGCGGGACGTATCTGGTAAGGCGTCGTAAACCGCACTCACCAGCTCATCAGGTGTCGTGCTGACGGTCATGGGCAGCTGCAGCCTCCGTACCTCTCCAAAATGCTCAATAAGGCCCGGTTCCAAGTCTGATGCAACCGGGGGTGCGTAACGAAACCACGAAGTTCAGCCAGTACACAAACACAGAAAAGCAATGGACGCAGCGATAGACATTTCTGGGCTGAGGCGGAGGTGACAGTTGGGCGTGGGAGCGTAGGTTGGCCCACCGACGGTTTTGGCCAACGGCTGGTAGGCGGAGCAGGTAGTGAACAGTTGGTCAGTTAGTTGGTTGATTCGGTTACACAGTGGTAGTTCCCGCTTCCCCAGCCTTCTCATTCGAGGTGAGGTCCGGGGCGGGGCCGCTTTCGTGTGCCTTCCTCAACCCCCATTTTCCCGCTCCCACCCCCCGAACCCCTCGACCCATTCCGGGCCCCCCCACCAACGTAATAGCGGTCCACAAGTTGGCGGCCCGGCGCCCAGTACGGCCCAAGGATGCCCACATGGAGCTGCTCGTACAGCTGCTGTGACCCGTCGAAGCCGTATAACTGCCCAAAATCGTACGTCCATGCTGCCAGAACGCCTGCGTGTTATTTTTTTGTTCGCGGGTTTTCACCAGGACGTCATGTGCCGGGGTGTGCGGGGGCGCCAGCAACCAAGTGGATGGAGTGGCCGACACAGTACGGACTGCCGTACTGCCCGGCAGCGTGTAAGCGGGAAGAAAGGCGGAGTGTGGACTAGGATAAACGGTAACACAAATATCAGGTGGTTCGTAGTTGGCGGTTAGTATCACATACACAGACATATGCGCACGCGCTTAACGAACAGGTACCGTAATTCGCCTGGGCCTGCGCCTGGACTCATATGGGGTCCCCGGCCCCCTCCCCCCGAGCCATTTACCGGTGAGCGGTGCCCCCAGCCTTTCCACCCTTGCTGCGCCCTCGTGTGGGACATTGCGAGATCTGCGCGCAGGCAGGCCTTCCCCGGCCCCCTCCTCCCCCCCCCCAAAGGGCTCGGCCCGCCTGCAAGCCGGCTCCCCCCTCGTGCACCGCCCGCGGGGCGATCTGCCCTGCCCTGCCCTACCCGACGGCTTTAGCAGTCTGCGGCATTCGTTGTAAAAGTCCTCCACTCGGAACCTGGGAAAGCATCGGCAGCAGTAGCAATTGCAGCGGCCCCGCAGCAGCGGAAGGAGGAGTAGGTGCGGTAGGAGACCGCAGGCCGGGGTAAGCGAGAGGAGGCGGTGTCATGGCCAGGTGGTGCCTCACCACTACCAGGGACTGCCAGGCTGTCCAGGTAGCAGCCGCCAGGGGGAAGGGGCGGGGCCCCCCTTCATTCACCTCCCCAAGCTATCCCCGCACCGGCCGCATCTCACGCTACACCCCGCATCCCTCCCTCCTCCCCATGTCCTACCTCATACCGCAACCCCGTACCTCCCCCGCTCAGTTCCCTCATTCATTTCACACCCTTCACTCCTCACCCCGCCTCTCATCCCTCCACCTCACCCCTCCACCTCACCCCTCTACCTCCCCCCTCCACCCACACCTCCACCCACACCTCCACCCACCCCTCCACCTCCCCCCTCCACCCACACCTCCACCCACCCCTCTACCTCACCCCTCCACCCACCCCTCCGTCCACACCTCCACCCACACCTCCACCCACACCTCCACCCACACCTCCACCTCACCCCTCTACCTCACCCTTCACCCCTCCAGCTTACCAATGCAGTGCCTGCCCCACCGTCATCAGATCTACGCTGCCGGCTGGCAGTCCCGTACAGTGCGCATCACCCAGCTGCATCTGCACACGCTGACGCAGAGCGGGCGCCACCTCCGACAGTTGCGCCGGACTTACATCCAGAGCGACGCAGGTTCCGAAGTCAGTCGGCATGGGACCCAGGGATTGGCCGTTGCCTGTGGCCACGTCGACGACGGTGAGGTCGTGGAAGGGGGGCCGGCGGTCGGGGAAAGCATGTGTGTATAGGAGGTCGTACAGCTGCGGCGGGTAGTGCGGCCGGTGCCGGGCGTAGTGGCTGGTCTGGTCGGCGTCGTTGAAGAGGTGTGCGGGGTCAGGGGAGTTGGAGGTGTTGGGAGTTTTGGCTGCGGGGTTGGGGAGCCTGCATGGAAGTGAGAGGGGGTGGGCACGTGGCAGCGGTGTATGATTTAAGTATTCACAGGCGGGGAGAGAAATGCTTGTGCCCAACGGAGTTTGTGTAGCGTAGCACGTATGCACCCTGTGTGCATGTGTGTGGAGAGAGCTCTGTGAGCAGCAGCTTAGATAGCTGGAAGCTGGAAGGTAGGGAAGGGGAGGTGGAAGGGGAGGGCGAGCGGAAACCTGGCTTGCAGATATATCCGCACCCTGAAGTGAGTGACGACATGGCTGTGCAATGGTGACTGGTGAGGTTCCGATAACGGTGTCGGTTGACGTCAAATATATAGCGACAAACTTGCCGACGTAATTTTTTATAGAATCGTTACAGAATTGCTTTTCGGGTCACATTAGGACTTGCATTGCAGACATTCCTCTAAACCGTATGACGCCTAGTAACTTGTACGAACCAAATCCTTGCAGCATTTACGGTTAACCTGAAGACAAGCCTTTGCTTTTTATCATCATGGTGCATCAGTGGTGCTTCACGCGCCAAAGTGGATTCCGTTATGACTTCAATCGGGATGCCTTTCGCGGAGTCGTCCCGGCTGCGGTAAAATCTGGCAAGGGTTTTGGTGGCGTGCGCAAATCGGAAGAGCATAAATCTAAACATGATGGAGGACAAAACAATGACAGAAAGGTGAACAGAGAGTTCCGTAAGCTGCGCGTGCTTTGACATGACGCGCTTTACTGACTAAACTCAGTTACGCACAATGGTGAGGGTTCGATTATACTTAGCCTTTGAATGCAGACATTCAAGGAAGCTGCGGCCGCTATTACAGCACACAGGCCGGTCAGGCCCGAGGAGGCAGCCAGAGGCAAGCTTGACTACGTCCAGGTAACTTGTCGGGCCCTTTTTGCGGGAAGGGTTGGACACGTATTTATGAGGTCCACTTTGGACATCAAGATACTTCGCAGAACTAAAATAATAAGATCATCGCTGTCGCCGTTATGCTGCGACAGTTAGCAAGCTTGGATCAGATTCCCTCGGGTTTTCTCAATGCCATGCCATGTCTTCCACGCCCGATGCGTGGTCACATACTCTCTAACTCTATCTCTTGCAGCACCCTCACACGCCACCGTACCCATGCACCGTCATGCTCAAAAACAGGTTTCTTTCTACCCCAAACTTATCTCATCCACTCTCCTTGCGATAGGTAGCGGACTGGGGTGATGGCGACCGGTCGAAGCTTGGAGAGCTGCGGCTTGTCAGCCACGTGCAGCAGTACGAGGGGTCCGCGAGTGGTACGACAGGCGCGAAAAGCCCGGGGTCCAGCCAGAGCGACAGTAACAACAACGGCGGCGGTGAAGGCGGCGGGGTCCCACCATTTCATATGCAGCTTGCACGCCAGCTGCAAATGGCGGAGGTGCGAGCCAGGAGAGGGACGGGGCCTTCCACCACCACCACCACCATCATCACCATCATCATCACCACCATTACCACCACCACCACCATCCGACACCCGGGCAGCTGGGGGAGGCACCTTTGGCTCCCTCCCCACCCTCCGAGACCTCGTTGCTGTTATCCCCCCGAGCACCCTGAGCACCCCCTCCCCTCCCTTACCTGGCCTAGCGTTAGGGGGCCTTTCACGGCTCTGTGACTGACTGCTTGCCGTCAATCTGTACACCGCACCGCACACATAGAGACACACATAGAGACACACACATGGGCACACACGCATGCCTTGTTGCCCCTAACAGTGGAACATCCCCATCACTTTCTCCTCAAGGATATTCCGTGGGTTCATTGAAGGTTCATATGTCTTGCGGCCCGCGTTGTTGCTCTCTTGCGGGGGAGTTACGAACGATGTGGGACCCGTGTGGGCGCGGACAGGCACGTGGCGCGCTGGCAGTGGCTGGGCCGCCCCCGCCCCCCCTCGCTGAATGGAGCTTCCGCGAGCAGCGTTACGAGCAATATCTGGCAGATCAGCTGGCCGTGCATGAGGGTGCGTCTGACTGTGTGCCGTACCGGTATGTCCGTACATGCGGTGACGCGGCGTGACGTGGCACGGCATGTGGTAAGGTGTAACGTTGTTAAATTGTGACAATCAGCTTGCCCTGTTATCTCCCTCTTATTTCTGTTCTCTTCCTCCCCCTCGTATTCCTCCTCTTCATCATCGTGCGTGTTTGTCCCCTTGCCGTGTGTCTGGAGTTCCAGCCGTCAGTTCTCACCCCCCCCAGTTTGCCTGTTTGTCTGTCTCCAGCGATTTGCCTCCGGACCAGCGCCCCTTCCCACCCGTCCACGTGGTATTCCCTTCCACACTGCTCCCCCCTCTGATTTTTTTAAGACCCAGTGATGGGTCCTTGCGCTTTCTTTTCCGGAGGACGACATTCCACCGCGTCATCATGCGCCCCACCCCACGGTTGCAGCGTTACGCTGTGTCGCTGTGTCGGGGCTCTCGGTCCCTTACAGTCCGGTCCATCAGCCGCTGCACCCCTCCCACCCCGCATATTCCCGCCGCGTACCACTACGCTGTCCCACGACGACACAGCTCTGGAAACGGCCCTGAGGGAGGCAGCCGCCAGCATCGCCACCACCGCTGCCGCCAACAAGGACGACGCCGCAAATGTGTCACAGCAGGCAAGCCAGCCGCCGCCGCCGCCGTCACCACCGGTACAGGATGCCGTACACGCCTTGATGCACCTGATTCCTGGCCGGTTGGGTTTGGAGCGAAGCGGCGCGATACGGCGGGACTTGGAGGCCTTGCGTGCTACTGCTGCCGGTATTGGTTCGGGGGCTACAACAGCTGATTCAGCAACAAGAGCTGATTCAAATTTGGGGTCAGTAGCACTGTACGGCAGGGTCGAACTCGCGGGGAGGAGCTCCGCGGAGGTGATGGAACCCCCTAGCGCAGTGGCGGCGCCGCCAAGCATTGAGAATACGGCGGCAGGTCCCATGGCCCGATCGTACGTGCAGGTGCTGCGGCGGCTGGGCCGCGTGGCAGCGGCGGGTGAGGACGAGAAGGTGCGTGTGTCTTGCTGTGGGGTGTGTATATTATGTGTGTATGTACGGCATGTGTATGCGTTCCGTGGGCGCCTTCGCGGCGGTTTGCACGTCTCACGTGATAGTGCTGCTCTCTGTGTGTGTGTGTCTGGGGGGGTGGGGGGGAAATATGGGTATGTGTGCTGGGGTTTTTTGTGGTGGTGTGTGATGATAGGTCACCGTCGGTCATCGCTGAGGTAACCCAACAGTTGCCGCCAGTATTCACCGAACCTAAGAATATGTATGTTCTAAGTTGCTGTACAAATCTCGCAGCATAACTTATCAGCTAGCTTTAACAATCATAAAAAAATTTACAACAATGCTCACTTTATATACATTCATGATTCATCCATCGTGTGGGATGTTTTCCTGTCCTACCTCCTTTTCGTGTCATGATCGTGCACTCCTTTCCTTTCTCTCCAACTGGCAACCGAATAACGACAAACCGCGACACCCCGGGGGGGGACCAGGGGCTCCCCGGGGTGTGTGCGCCCCGCCTGCTGCTGCTGCTGCTGCTGCCCGGGGGGCCCGTCTTTACTGCTCCTTCGTTCACGATTATCACTTCGAAAAAACAAACAACTTATTTAAAGCCCTTGAGGATTGCTTCAAAAAGCCCTTGTTCTTAGCTTCAATAGCCGAAGAGCAGCGGGGCGCGCTACCTGGGTCCAGAGAGAGAGCTGCTCGCTCTTGAGGACGATCCGCCCATATCCACAACACCAACACCACCCACCCACCTACCTACCCACCACCCCTCCCCTCCTACGACGCGACAGGAGCGCCAGCTGGGTGCTTTGCGGCTGCTTGCCCACGCGGCCGTGGTGTACCTGGCGGGCCAGGCGGTGTGTGTGCGGCTGGGGGCCACCGCCACGGAGCGCCTGGCGCTGCTGCCGCGGAGGGCGGCGGCGACCTATCACGAATATCCCCGGGAGGTGGGGTGGCTGGGGTGGGGTGACGTGGGCCGCCTAATGAGGAGGATGAGGATGATGGTGATGATGCCAGGGCTCTATCATGCCCGGGTCACGTGGGTTAGATGAGGAAAGGCTCCCTAGGCGGTGGAGGGGCCCCGCAGGTTGGTGCGCAGGCTGGTGCGGAGCAGTCACTGAGGGCGACAGAGGATACAGGGTGTCAGTCGTCGGGAATTCGGATGTTTGGAATGTCGGGGGCTTTAGAGCTCCAGAGCTTTCTGGCGTCTGGGAGTGGGAGTGGGAGTGGGGGGAGACGGCGTGCATCGGCGTGGATGTGGTGCTAGCTCAACGTCCATGCCCACCTTCTCTGGACGTCGACACGACTTGGGTTTTCTTTTTGCATTTTTTTGCTTTTACCTTCCCCCGGGCCGCTCCTTCCCCCTTCCCCATGTACATACACAAACACACACACACACACCACCTGCCCACCCGCCATCTACTCGCGTGACATATTTCCTGGCTGCTTTGTTGGCTGGCTAACATCATTGCAGCACATTAATTGCAGGTTACTGACCCGCGGGTCACCCTCTCCCGGGCACTGGATGCTGCCGGAGAGCATCTGCGCTGCCCCGCCGTCCGCCAGGCGGTGTTTGACGAGGTCGCGAGCGCCATGCAGAAGACCGGGCTGCTGCTCAGCGCACTAGCACATCGAGACTAACAATTGGACGTGTAGACGGATCGACCGATAGGCGGACCGGCGTATGGGCTTGCCGGACAGAGGGCCGGCTGGCAAGCCAGAAGGAAATGAGTTGGGGCCCAACCGGGCGCAACCGGTCAGCGGCTGTAGTCTTGTTGTGCGTTGGCTGATCGCTTGGGGGATTGTGCATTTGACGGGTGCTGGTTGGGGTGTGTTATGGCGAGTTAGGAATCGTACAGAGTGCGGTATGCTGTGTAAATTGCAGAGTGCGGTATGCAGTGTAAGCATGGATGATGCAGGGCGGATGAACTATGACAGAGGGTAAGAGGCGCATCGCTGGCCTTTTAGAAGGTGTGTGGGCTGCAAATCATATGGATGTCAGGCTGTGGGACAGAGAATAACAGATATACCGCTGGAGACGAAAGTGATCTTTGATGTGACTGTATGCGCGCTGTGATCAGGGACGAATCGTCGCGTTTTGATGCGTGGTGATTCAAGCTGAGCAACGGTTTCAAACGACCCGTCGCCGTACCAGCTCACAGAAGTTGCCACAGCATACGCAAGGCGCACATTTAGGTAGATCCAAACATGTGTAATAATTGTTTTCAAGGACTGTCTTGCCTGGACGATCAGCAACAGCTGCAAAAGTTCATCGACGGCTTTACGCGACGTCCACGAGGACGATTGCAAACAGTGCGCCCACCTACGACATCTATAAAAAATAACACAACTGCTAACATTATGGGGAACTTTAATGAGCAAGTAAAAGACGACAAACATCCTGAGTAATCGGCAGCGAAACCAATAACTAATTACGCACTATTTGCAAGCCGAATCCTTCTATTTTTAAGTCCTATTGCACCATGTTTGCATCGGGGCCGGCAGCGAGGCTGCTATCGGGCTTTGCGCTTTCCACTTGCGGTCTCGCAACTTCATCAAACAGGGCGGCGTCCAGCGCCGTGGCTGTCTTCCGCGCTTCTGGTGTTTGGACACAACCATGTAACCTGACATATCTCTGCTCCAGACCTCCGACACTACTGTCTAGCTTCAGCACCCAGGGCCCCATCCCCGAAGCAACCCCCATCAGCCAAGGATTTCCCGCCAGCGTCCCTGCCCCTACCACCGACACCACCACCGCCACCTCTAACCATAGCTATGCCAACAGCATCTCTGAGCAGCACGCTACGAATGCCACTCCCGCTGCCGCAACTGCGACCGCCGACACCAGCAGCGGCGACGCCGGGCCATCCTTTGCCTCCTCCTCCTCCTCCTCCTCCCCTCCCTCTGCCCCCGCCAGCCGTCGCGACAAGTCCGCCTCCGCTGACGTGATTTACCCCAGCAGCCGCGACGACAACCTAGGGGTGCAGCGCAACTGGTTTAATGCGCTGTTCACGCAGCTCAATGTCATTCAGCGCACCGGTTTGGCGCCGTACGCGGCACTCAAGGGCCGTACCAAGGAGGTGTTCGAGGCGGTGGAGCGGGAGTTTGAGGGGTTGTGGGAGCGCCATGTGCGGGGGAGAGGCCTGCAGGTAGAGGGGGGTGGCGAGTGGGGACGGGGTTTGCTCATGGTCCCGGGTGGCGGTGATTGCCACTGGGTTTGAGGAGGCCTTCCAGGCCATATATATAGGGGGGGGACCGTTGAGGCAAGTGGGTCCGGACGTGTTTCATCAGCGTATGGGTTGGGGTGGGGTGGGGTGGGGTGGGATGGGGTGGGGTGGGGTGGGGTGGGGTGGGGTGGGATGGGGTGGGGTGGGGTGGGGTGAGGGGGGGAGATCAGCAGGTGATTGTGGGGCAGCCCCGTTGGACCACCGGGTGCTGCGGTCGGGTGCCCGTGTTCTGAACCCGTGTTCCGTGTGCTTCATAACCCCCTCCCTTTCTCAATCGCCAGTCGGGGTTCGTCTTACCCCCCCTTCCCACCCCACTCGTCCCCCCCCAGGGCACTCCTCACCGGGGTATGCTGTTGTGCTGCCTGGCAATCGCGACACACAAGGTGCTGCTGTACGAGACCGGGGACGAGGCCCTGGTGCGCGAGGTGAGAGATCGCAGGGGGGGGGCGCCTCTTGCGGGGTGGAGGCGAGGTGGGGGGCCCCTGCAGGTGGCGGTTAACCGTCCGCTGGCACACACCCACCCACCCACCACCACCACCACCAACAACAACAACAACAACAACAACAACAGCAACAACATTACCAATAACAGCAACGGCAACAATAACGGCTGCACACGTGTGTCGTTTACTTTCCCGTCGTTGCCGCTCGACCTGTGGCCGGTTGCACAGATCTTCCCTGGCCACTCCCGCAACCCTACACAACTACTTTACCCCCCCCCCCAACCCCCTCAGCAGCTTCACGCGTTCGTGGTTCGTCTTTCCCCCCACCCCCCTCACACCCTTTTTCACCGCCCTTACGCCTACCTTTTACCTATTTTACGGCTTGGCTCCACTGCTTTTTTCCCGCTGTTATTTTAGTCTTGGCGGCGAGGTAGGTAGTTTTCATTACGTCATCATTACATCATCCCGAGGACGGCTTCTTCACAACTGCCGACTGGTCAGTTCTGCTTTCTTCACATCGGCCGCAGCAGTCTTTCCTTGGCAGCAGCTTCACTCGCTCGTGGTTTTCGTCTTTTACCCTCCTCACCCCCACCCAACCCCCCACTTCTACCCCGCTCTCATGCCCTGGCACGTGCTGGCGGTTGACCCTCTTTGCTCCCCCCGGGATGTCGTACCGTGGCCCCCTCCCCTCCCGCCAACACCCCGGGGCACCCCTAGGTGGTTCGTACAAACCTAGGCGGTACGGCAGTGGGTGTCATGATGCGACTTCACAAGCTGCGGTTGTGGCTACTGATCAGGCTACTGGCGGAGGATCCTTATAAACAGGTGTCTGTATGTGTCTGTATGTATGTATATGTGTATGTGTGTGTACGTGTATGTATTGGGGGGCTAGCGGCGATTACGGGGGACCTGGTGCAGGTTGTATGTATGTCGTTAGACCTTAAAACGGCAACAACAACAAGGAAGACGAGGAAGAGGAGGAGGAGGGGCTCCTCCAGCTGTTTATAGGTCCAGTAAGCGGAGGGGATGGGAGGAGAGGGGAGGGGAGGGGAGGGGAGGGGAGCTGCTCCCCACTTCTCTCCCCCACTTCTCAACCCCACTTCTCTCCCCCACTTCTCAACCCCACTTCTCAACCTCCTCTCCCCCCCACTTCTCCCCCCCACTTCTCCCCCCACTTCTCAACCCACTTCTCTCCCCCACTTCTCCCCCCCACTTCTCAACCCACTTCTCAACCCACTTCTCTCCCCCACTTCTCAACCCCACTTCTCAACCCCACTTCTCAACCCCCTCTCCCCCCCACTTCTCCCCCCCCTTCTCCCCCCCCTCTCCCCCCCCTTCTCCCCCCTCTCCCCCGTTACCCCCACGTCGTCTGTCTGCAGGCAGTTCGGTTCCTCCCCTCCCTCCAAGGGGATATGGGGTGCCTGGTGCCCGGCGAGGTGCTGGAGGGGCAGGTGGGGGAGGTGGGGGAGGTGGGGGCCACGTGGGTCACCCACAGCTGCACCTTCCACTCGGTGCTGGCGGCGGAGGGCGCGACGGAGCTGCTGCCGGAGTTCTGTTGCCAGTTCGGTATGCAGTGGCTGGAGGTGCGTGAGGTTGATCTGGGGGGAGAACGGAGGGGAGGGGGGTGAGGGGGGGTGAGATGGGTTTGCGGTGGCTGCTGTCATCTGACACCGGGGGCTGTGGCGGCAGTGGCGAGTGGTGGTTGTGGTGGCGGGGAGAGGTGCCCGCTCAGTCGGTTGCGTGGACCACCTCCCTCTTCGCCTTCTTCTCCCTCTTCTCCCTCTTCTCCCTCTTCTCCCTCTTCTCCCTCTTCTCCCTCTTCTCCCTCTTCTCCCTCTTCTCCCTCTTCTCTTGGGTCAGGTCGGGTTGGTTTCGGTAAAGCTCCTTTTGGAATCCGGCAGCGGCTCTCCCGGTTTGCCGGTGGCGGGGGAGGGAATATACCGAGTATGGATAGAGGAGGATACGTATTCGCGGCCGCAGTGGAAATCCCCCTCATCCCCACTGCCTCCCACATCGCAGCCTTCTTCCCCTGAGGCCCAACACATAAACACACACGCACCTCAACTCCTGCCGGCAGGTGTTTTCGCAGTACGGCGTACGAGTGGGCCTGGAGGAGAGCCTGGGTTTCGGAGACGAGTGCTGTCGGGTGCGAATCAGCCGACCGGGGACGGGGGGCCCCTCCGGGTAACAGTGGATGCATGAGGGTGGGTGTGGTGATTAGTGGGGTGGGATTAGTGGATATGGAGGGAGGGTGGGGTGTACTTGCAACATGGGCAAAAGTCTGGCAATTGACGATTGCTGACTGGGCAGGGGATCGTGGTTGGGGATATGGAGCTATACACACGACACACCACAGGCCGGCGGCGGCTGGGCCGGGGACCAGAGATGTTTATTGTGGGTGTGGGACGAGAGGGGCCCGTGATGTGTGGTGAGACAGGGAGGAAGGGCCCTTGCCCACAAGGCCATCACGACAAGTACGATGTGTACGTCATTGTACGGCACGATCGCAATGCAATGATATTTGTGCATTGCGCCATCTCTCCTGTTTTGTGGAGCTTTGCGGGTAGGGTTTGTGTAATTAGCTGCGGAGGATGATGATAAAGGTGTTTGGGGTGCGAAGGCGTCTCTGGTGGCCGGAAGGCGTTTGGAAGAACGGAGCCTTAGGCAACCCCTCGTTCCAGGATCCGTGAAAACTTCTGGAAGTATGGATTATGTCCTTTTTGGCACGGAGATGACAAGGTGCGTGGAAGCCACAAGAACTGATTATTAATGACAGCATGCCTAGAACGCATTCCACCGCAGCTGTCAATATCGTGGGCACCTGCAGGCATTTTTGGAGGCCGCCTTACAAAGCCATTCGGAGGCAGGAAACAGCACGAACACGCCGCAAAAGGGTGAAGGATGGAAAGTCGCTGTCAAGAGAGTCCTTTGGGGGGAAGGCTGCAGGGTGTGATGCCTTGAATGATACAATGCTATCGGTTAGTTGCCGAAAAAGAAGATGCAGACAGGATTAACATCGCGACTTTGGCCATAAATGAAACGCTGAAAAGAGCTGTAATCGCATACGCGCTGGGACCTAGCTGTTAGGTATCTTGAGTTCGTACATGGTGTCGTAGTTCACTCAGATAGCACGCCTGTTGTAAGAATAAGTGGTACTCTTCAATCCAATCCGAATACCCGACTAGAGACACACGCTGACAAGATAAACGGCGCCGAAGTCTGTGTGACCATGTTAACCTTTCATATGCCTTTGAATCGCCTTATACACCGATCAAATATGGCAGCAAGCTCATTAAACTCATCTCTTGATCGAATATGCTCGTTATCGACCTCTAGCAGCGCTTGCGAAGGAGCAACTCGAGAGGCAACTTCGGTTGGACACGATGAAGGACCGAGCACGAGTGGTCGCATCACTTCAGCACCCGGAATGCCCAACTGGGACTGGAAATGGGTGTTGGGCAAATCACAAGGCCGGAAGCCAGCGATCAGGCGACCAAATCGGCATCAGTGGTACTTTTGCAACCCAAACTACGACCCAAACAAGCCGCTTCCTGTCGTTTTACGTTCACCGTTTGCCCCGCCAAGCGCCTGGGAGGCAACTGATATGGCAGAATACAAGCGACATATCACAAGGAAGCCGCCCAAGGGAAAGGACTTGCGCGAGCACCACAAGGATTTCACACGTTTCCAAAAGCTGCGGGAGCTTGACTGGCGGGAGGCTTTCCAGCGTGGTGTCGCCGAGGACCTGCGTCGGAGCCGGAAAGCAGGGCGGCTGGAGGCGGAGGCCAAGCGCCAGGAGGCATGGCGGCAATACAGGGACGCCTTATTTGAGCGTGCCCGTCTGGCTGAGGAGGACGCGAACGCGATGCCTGCCACCGCGGCTGGTACGGGGATCCGAGGGGAGGGGGGAAACACTGCCCCGCATGCATCGAGTGCCTTGGCTTGGGGTTTGGCAGTATTTGCCTCTGTATGCCATCCCTGTCCCATAATGTGGCTGGTGAGGCCGTAGGGCATTAGGCTGCCTCTCCATCAGGGTCTCCCCCTGGGCGCCCAGTGAGCCCGGAGTACTAGGGATGTGGATTGCAGAGGACGAAGCGCGTGGGTGCCATGGAAAGCTCTTCCCCCCGTGCACGGGGGTGCACGTGCCTTGGCCAGGCTCATAGCGGGGCTTGCAAATCCGCGTGGCTGCAGTGAGGAAAGGGTTTTCTCCAATGCAGACGGGGCGGCGGCTCGCCAGGAATACCCCCAAGGTCATAAACGTCTTGACTGCGTCACCTCCCCCTCTGCGTCTCTCCTTTACGGCTTCTTTGACCTGTAGGCGCCGCTCCTGCTGTTGCTACGGCTGCTGTTGCTGCCGCTGCGGGGGAGCTCCCCGCGTCCAGCAGCTAACATTCTGCAACAGCGGCCTCTCGGGGAATTGTGGCTCTACTTCCCTCGCAGCCCCCGCAGCTCGGAAGCAGAGGCTGCCCAGCCGCCCTGCTGTACCCGCCCAGCTGCTTCGTCTCAGTTACGAGTCAGGCAACTAGCAGATCAGATCTAGCGTTGTCTGTTTGCTGATCAGAATGTCAGGAGAAGACCCTACAGCGAGGTTGGAGGGCGGCGAGGGAGGGGAAGAGACGGAGGTAGTGGCCCTGGTCGCAACCTGCACGTGCACCCGCTCGCAGGTGCGGCTGCTTCGTGTTGCTGCAGGCAGCAGTTGTAGCGAAAATGTGGATTTGGCGGTATGTATTTGTTTAACTGTGGATTTGACTAATCTGTTGGGCATTCTTGTCAACTCCATATGGGGACCTGACTGAGGTGGCCGCCCAAGCGGAAGTGGCGGAGCCCGCGTCGTAAAGATCTGTGGCAGAAGGGAGGGGTTATGAAGTTCGGATGAGACCGAGGACCCCAAAGAGATGGTTTGGGGTCCCCCGATCTGTTTCGTTGCGATGGTCTGTGGTTCGTCGCACGAGGGCTAGCAGACAAAACCTGTCTGTCTGTGGTGATCTGACGTGTGGAGTTGCACGTCGTCTCACCAAAACCCTGCGTTGGTTGTTCCACGCGTTCCACATGCTGAAGCCGGCTTTTAGTGTTTCTGAAGCTGCACAATTGGTTGGAGCTGGTAAAAGGATATTCGTCGAAGTTCCCCTACACGCTGGTTCTGGGTTTCGTAAACCTCAGCATTTTTTCTGAAGGTATGTCTTCTGCCTTACGACACACTGTGCATATAGACATGCGCCCAGCCATCTGCCCAGCCCAGTCCCGTTCGTCCAACCGAGGAGTACGGCAAGTGACGGAAGGGCAGCTTCTGGCTGACGTTCCTGTTTCGGTTCCTTCAGCGGGAGCTGTGGGGGGACAAGACACGCCTTCGCTGCGCGAGACAGACAGGAGAGGGGAACAAGAGGCAAACGACCGTGCGATGCGCAGAACGAGTGCGCGCACAAGAAGCCAGGAAGAGGGGGTGGAGAGGAAAACAAGCGGTGGCCGAAACTTTGATTTCTTTACAGTGGATCTGCCAGGAATTTCGCTCTCCTTCCAAAGACACATCCGAACGCCACCCGAATATGGTCTATTATCGGACTTCTTGTATGGCGCCCCCCTCATCGCATTCTCTACACCGCGCGCCTCTTTCACACACAGCTTTCACTTCTACCCGCTAGCCTATCTTCCTACCTACCGGCTCGCTAAATATGGACCTCCTGTTTTCTCTGGAAGCGGCTCTGAGCCCATCTGGGGCGGGGGAGGGGTCCGGATTTACAACCATTATCCCCCTCTCCAAATTCGGGGAGGGCCGCCGGGAGGGGAAATTTCCCCAAACACAAGAATGCCTAAATACGGATACACGGGAGCAACAAAGAAGTGGGCCCTACGACGCGCCCACCACCTGCTAAGCGGGCTATCAAGGGCTTTCCCCGTACACGAGGGGTTGTTGGCACTGCCTAATTTCCAGGCATCACCTCGCCCTACGCGCGGCCAGCGACAACGCAACCGGTACACGACACTCCAATTAGTAGGCTCCCCTTCCCCCATCAGAATCTTCCCCCGGGCCCTTTCCCTCCTCGTCCTATTTTGTTCGGTCGCATTGGCAGACGTGCTTGGTTAATTGCTGGAGATATATGTAGTGCTGAAGTGCGATGTGCACACGAAATGAAGGATAAACAAGGGGAGGAGAATAGGAAAAGACTAATAGAAGGAAAGAGCGCTCATCGTTCCGGCCCGCAGGGCCTCATGCAGAGTCTTTCCGAAGTCCATCGCCCCCTCCTGGGGAGCTGTTAAGAGGTTGCTGAAGCACTCAACGTGGTTAATATCTTTGCGAGCTTACCCCGCTCAGAGAGGTAGAGAGAACAGAATAGAGGTCTGTTGTACTGAAATCACTTGGGGGGCCCTCCCTGGGGGGCAGCGGTGGGCCTCACCTCGTCTAAGGCCCCCGCACAAATTGTAGGGAGGTAAAACGCGTACACGCACGTGCATAGCCGCAGCTGCGGGTCCTGTCCTTTGCGGTTTTCCATCCTAAAGCTCCTTTCATACCCACCGCGACTCAGGCCATCACCACAATCTTTCATAAACCGCACCCTGCAGTCTGCTGCCAATTCGCCTATCCACACACAGACACAGACATTTAGACAGACATAAGGATGGACAGGAATACAGACGGACGAAAGATATAGACAGACATCAGTACCCAGTAGACCTTTCAATGTGTACGCGCGAGCATGGATGCGCGTGCTTATCACAAACATATACACGCGCACACGCACACACTCCACATCATCGCGTGCTCCGTCCTACACCAATCCCTTGCCTCTACACCAGCCCCAGTATCGCCCTTCTGCTCCACTCCTTCCACACCCTTCCCCCTTCTTAGGAGGCATCTGCAGTCGGGTTCTCCTGGCGAAGGGTAGGGTGAGGGGGAGGGGGAGGAAATGGGCACCGTTGCACGACAAACACCTCGTCTACCTCCAAGGCAATATCCACGAAGTGCCCCAACACTCCTCCGCAACTACACCTAATCCAGCGCCCCAACGCCGCGGCGCACCGTTCGTGGTCCGAAAGCATCACTGCAGCAGCTCCGGTAAGTCCCGCCAACACCTCATCCCCCACGCATCCCGGGGAAACAACTGGGAAACAACGAACCTTCCTCTTCGCTCCTCCATACACGACGGGGGCGCTCCGACTATCTTCTCCCCCAGATCACCAACAAATCAACAAAAAGTGCAACAATGGGCACAAACCAGCTACTACGCATGGCAAGCTGCTAGCCCCTACTGCTGCTCCCTTACTAGAGCCCGGAATTTCATGCTGCCTTGCTCGGCCTGTTTGAGCGCGCATCTACTAACCGTTTGCAGCTCCTGTTCTTTCTACGGCCCGCCCTAACACACTGCCTTCCTGCCTCAACCCTCGCCGCGTCCCTCAGGGACCCGTCCTTCCATCCTTCCGCCCGCCCGGCCCGGCCATCCCCCGTCCCTCAGGGTCATCCTCCGTCCTTTCATCCCTTCACAAGCGAGTGGATGTGGCGCTGGCGTACAGACGGCGACGAGGCCACCGCGTCTCGAGGAGGTTGGAATCCGGTGAGGAGCTGCCCTCACCGCCGCCGCCGCTCGTGGTGTTGCAGCCGGTGCTGCCGCTGCTATAGCGCGGGGTAAAGCTAAAGGCCGGAGAGCCAGCGTCGCTGACGCGCCGCCTATCGCATGTTCCGGGTGTTGGGGTAGCGGGTTGGGGGAGGGGAGCGTGGCCGTCGGAGAAAGGGAGGGGCGTACCGCAGCAGCGCATGTGTGCGTGTGTGTATGGACCTCATGGCCTTTCCAGGCAACTAGATTTCTCGGTGCGAGGCTGCGCGTGCGAAATCTGGAAACAGTGGAATGTGCAAAGTTCCCCCTCTCACCTAGGCGACTGCGTTCCCACGACCCAGGCGGACAGGGAAGCCACGGAGGATCGGTCCTCATCGTCCGGGTTGGAAAAGCATGGGGAGTTGGCCAGCGAGGAGGAGGCGGTGTGGGCGCGAAGATTGCGTTCGGTTAGCTTCGCTGTTGGCGGCGTCTGCCGCGCTGGCAGCGACTGGCAGCCCAGCCCGGACCTGTCAAGATACTGAGTGTCATGATTTCCGTTCGATGTTTGCAAAGATGGCGGCGTGGCATCTGCGGTGATGCAGCCGGTGCTGCCGCCATCAGAAGCGCACGTCATGTCAAGAGGGTCCGCCCCGAACGTCGCGCACAGCGCGCCGGCGAGGAGCTCCAACAGTCCATCCACGTGCCATATGCCGCCATTCTCTTCAAGAAGGACAACGCTTGGTGGAGGTTCGGCTGCTTCTGGGGCTTCGAGGATTACCTGTACGCATGCAAGACAAGTGAGCTACAAGCCGCATCGATGAAACGAGGCATCATAATTACGCTACACAACACAAGCCAGTAACGACAGGGCGGTCTGCAGGAACGGTTACGCACCTCTGCATTATCGGCCTTCCACCGCTTAATTGGTCGCGCGCAGGGCAACAAGTTTGCTGAGCCCTCCGAGCAGCGCCTCTTAGTGGAAATGCCATCCGGCAAGCAATAAATGCCTACAACCATGGTGTGACGCCGCGTCCGTGTAAAGCTGGGGCCCAGCGGCAGTCTACTCCGCCTGCACGGTTTGGCTGGCAGGCCCAACGGAAGCTCTGTACCAGATTACTGAGCAGAAAATTACTGTCACGCAAGTGGCACAGTTCCTTCGATGTAAGTTTCTAAGACCGCCGTACAAGATACGAACCTATTACCGTTAGTGGTCGTTTGCGAGATGTGAATAGCAATCACAATATAAATGCGTTGAGAGCCATGCTTATAACATCTTTTTGTTTTCAATGCTGCATCGTTTGTGAGGCTTGACCGAAAGGAATTTAACACGCAGTAACCTACACGCGCTGCAAGAATCGGCGAGTATAGACAAAGTTAAGATGACAATCGAGTTAAAAGAAAAGATCTCTGTGGCATGTCATTTTAATTGCCTGCTTAAACCATAATCCTTCTGTGACTTGCTCGGTATCCTCGCGATGGCTAGGGGCACTCGACCAAGGACGAAAATCAATGTGCATAATAGAGTCTCTGCGGAGTTTCCTAGATGATTTTCTTCTAGTGTTCTGTTTGCCAAGCTCCAAAAGTACAAATGCGATGGGGGCCTGCGACGAACTGCGCAGCATATTACTGCTACGTGCCAGAAGTGCTGCCCCGCGCTGCATAAGCATCCAACTCTTATACATTATTTGTTGATGCATTCGCCGATGGTCGTCACCTTCCTTCGGACCTACGGCCATGAGGAGAACCCTTTGCTTAAACGTCATCGCGTGATCCGTACTCACTACTAACTTATTGTGGGGAAGGCCATTGCGTCTGCGACCACACTCCCGCGGTACCCAAACCCTTCAAAGACAACTCCGATCAGCCATTTGGCTGTTAGTGGGAGGGCGGGTGGGCCGCTCGCACGGCAATCGAGTAGAGAGTACGAAAATAACCTAATGCAGTCATCGACAGCAGAAAACGTAAGCCTCCAGCCTCATGCCGACTCTCTTACCTACCATTCATATTCTCTACCTCGTTCCCAAGACTCCGCCGCGTTGCCTCTAGTTCGGCTCGTGCCACAGGTAACTTCGCTCGTCGCTACTTTGCCATTCACCTTCGCCTCCACCCAGCCTCTGCTTCTCCACAGAAGCGGCGACCTCCTTCGCCGTTGTTACGCCTCATCTATGCGAATCCTCCTCATCCGACTGTGTCTTCTGCCTACCCGGTGCGCGCCCCCTCTCTCTGCGCATCCTTTTCTCTGGCCCTCTCTTACGGTTGCCTACCTTACTGCAGGACTCGCCCCTTGCCTGTCCGGTGCCGGGCAGGCTTTCCTTGCCTTCCCCGGCCCTACTTGGGGCGCCCCTCCTCGGCTCGTCAACTACCTTACTTCCGTCCGTTCCTGCCCCTCGGGGGCCCAACCCCTCCGCCCTTTCCGTGGGCCCGACGCCCGCTCTGGACTTATCTCACGCCCCCG